TAAACTTCGCCCACTTTTTCAGCATTATTTTCGAATTCATCCAGTAGATAAACCAAGTCACGAGCAGCAGAAGTGACAGAGAAGGCTTGTGTATGACCGTCGATCTGGTGTAAAATATCTTTCACGCAGTATGGAAGTTCTTCTATGGTGGTGAGCCAACAGATATGCCAAACCATGTAGCGCTGATAGTAGGATGGTTGTGTAGGCGAATAGCTTGTGGTAGAATAGCGCTCTCTCGAAGGAGATTCCGGTGAGTTCCAATAGCAACACGTTGTTCCTTATAGCGAAGAAGAAGACCAGTAATAGGCCTAATGTGGCGATCGTCCCGGACCCTCCGACGGATCTAGAACCTGCTAAAATAGCGTTGACAACCACGAGGGTCACGACAATCGGTAGTGTGAGCACCAAGTCTCCTTTTTTGACGTCGATGCGGGTCGTGAGTAGGGACTGGCACGGAGAAGACACGACGAGACAATGACCAGCGCGTCACCATCCAGGAGCGGAGCAGAATTTGTAGACGTCCTGGTAGACAGGAACGGTGCTCTCGAGTCTGCCATGATTCCTTGTAGGGTGCAGAGGGGAGTGGAGTGGGGACAGGAGCGGAAGGTGAGGAGAGTTCGCTGAAGTCGCTGACCTTGGGCGAGATGTCCATTGCGGTAGATAATAGAGCACCGTGCTTTCGCTTTAGCTGTTTGATTCGAGAATGAGGCTAAAAGTATGCAAGTGATCCTCAATTTGAGACGGGGCGTGGCATCATCAGCATTTTGATTCAACGGCTAGGTTCAGACTTGAAGTTGCACTCCAGAAAGATGACGATCAAAGGCAGACTGCAGCAGCTTAAAAGTTGCTTCATTAAAAAAAATGTAATTCTGTCGAACTAATGACGTTCTTAAAGTCGAGGAGTCCGGGTGTCCAGATTCCAGCAATATTTTGACCATGAAAACGCGGGTTACTGAATGCGCCGTGCTACTGTGTACGTAAAGACGGTATAATGGGCTATCTGTTTTCGAAAGACACAAACTTTGACCAGAAACTATGCTAATGCAAGTATTCTTCGCCGGTCCGTGCTACCTACTGAAGCCGCAGCACTAACCACCCATTTTGAAATTTGGGCCGTCAACCGTGATGGTAACGTTTATCGTCAACAATCTGATCACTATCAATCAACTCGCAGGGCACATCGAACTGTACATTCGTCGCTTTCGAGAGTGTTTTGTTTGAGTCAAGTAAGTGCGCACCACATTCTCATGCGGTCTTAGACACCTGCACTCACCTGTTCTTCTACCTCACGCAGAGTAGCTATCCTGTC